TTAGATTATGTACTTGGCTTGGTTTTGTAATCGACAGAAATGGCTCCAAACTCTGAAAATTTTTCTTCTAGTTTTCTCAATTCCAATTTTGAGGTGTGTTGTTTTCGTAGATGTTTTTGTGCTTCACATGGACAGCAATAGAACGGGGAGCTTTTTCCACTCTCAGAATCGAATAAAATAAGCGTGGAATCTATATATGCGTAACAAGTTCTATTCACGTGTTAATTGATGAAGAAAAATTAGTGGGAGTGTTTGGATAAAGTATTATTTGAAATAGTTATTATAATATTTTTTATGATGTAATGTATGTGAGATAAAAAATTAATTAAAAATATAAAATAATAAATTGAAAAATATATTTAGGGTGCAAGAATAATATAGACAGTGAAGAAGTACCAGAAGCTGTTTACACGGAGAAGAATAATATACTGCGACGGGCAAGAAGGAATGCCGTTTACGCGACACGGAGACCTGATGGTTGACACTGGATGATGTTGTAGTATGACCGTACCAGAAGCTGAACCAGTTCTGCCCTGCGCGCATGGTAAGAATAACAAAGGCGCAAGTGAACTGTAAAGTATTTTTCCTATTATGTCTAATTGAAGACGGATGCTTCAATTCGGAGGGCTTTTCTTTTTTTCTTTGACGCTGTGCCAATTAGAGGTTGCAGGTCCTGATGTCAGTTTGTCATCAACTCCTTGGCAGTTTCGCATGCTATTACAACTTCCTACACAAGAAAGAAAGTAAAGAGTATAACTTGCAGGGAGGGGCGGTGCTAATAAGTAATCGGACAAGTACTAGTAAGGATAGGATAAAAGAGGAAATGAGATTACTGGGACTTGCCTTCAACCTTGCATCAGCCGAAAAGGAGCATTTGGAGGTGATTGCGAGTCCCCGGTCCAACAGCCATCCAACTTGGAACCAAGTCTCTCCTTGCTCCTCTTCTTGATTTGATGAACACCAGAGTTGCTTTGGTAGCAGAATGAGGCTACTGCCGTCTCTCGACACCGACAAAGGCACACTGTCATCATCATCCACCACAAGTTCTCGGAAATTCACCCTCTGACACAGCATAACAGATGCTAATAAGAATGTCATCTGCTTGAAAACTGAAACGAAAGCTACAGACACATACACAGATACCAGCCAGCAAGAGTCAGTAGCAAAATTAATCTAACCTCCTCCTCCGGTTGGAAGGTGGCAGTTGCCGGGAGGCCTTGCCATACGCCTGTGACTTGACAACTGGTCAAGGCAGGAGTAGAAGCAAATGCAGAGTCTCGTATGGCACAACCACCCAGCTGCTCCCCATTTCTGAAGGGACCATACCACTGCTCGCAGAATACCTGGATTCCCTCCAATTGCATCATGTTCATCGGCTCTCCTTGGTCGTCACCATCTTCTGCCGGTGGTTGCTGTTTTATCCGGACAGCCTGAATTATTCGCACCCGGGATTCCCCGTCTCGAGGGTGAATCAGGCAATGCTCCAACTCCAGCTGCACGAGTGATCCGCCATTCTCCTTGGGCCAAACAGCAACGTAACATCCATTGGATTGATAAGCAAAGGCGGTGGCGGCTGCCGGACTGGCAGCAGCAGCATTAGCAAGAAGAAGATTAATGTTCCTCTGAAGAAGGCTATATGTGGTGGCAGCATCAGCTTCGCAACCAACGGTGGGAAGTAGCCTGATCAACTTGTACGTGAGTTGAAAATGAGTTGGGTGAGCCAGAGTGGGGCACTGAGTTTGCCAGTCGAAAACCTTCACCTCCCAGTCCCTGTAGGCTTGGGGGACTACTGATTCGGGCAATTCCATGGGTTCCCCATCCTTGCTAAAGTCTGCTCCATATCCATCCCATTCGCCGGAAACCTTCTCCGCAAATTCTGCCCAACCTGAAGAATTTGGTCCCAAATAGCAGTACAAGTTTTGTTTTTCGCATCAGATGCTACTACTGCCAGTAGTATTATTAATTGAGATGGCCTGGAAACAGATCCTTCAAAAAGTTCAAAAGTGTGCGCGTGTGTGTGTATTAAAAGAAAAGGGAAGCACTCACTGGTGGATGTTGAGGGGTGAACATAGTGAGACTGGGGTGTTTCCTCCGTGATGGCGGTCTTGGCATTTGCAGGCACAGCGAAGAATTTGACGCGTGGAAATCTACAGGTGGCGTTGGAGGAGTGATGCCTGCGGTGGATAAAAAGGGTCTGACGAGGATTTGGGGAAGAAGAGGGACAATTTTTGAGAGAAGCATTGAATGCTATGCGGAGGTGCCCGAAGACAGCTGTGTTAGCGCTTAAAGCCATACCATAACAAAGGAAGTGGTAGTTCTAGTAGTACTATGTACACCGGCCGCAGCCCAGAGCAGCTAAGTCACACCAAGTCCGGTATCTCCACTCCAATCTCGGAAGCACTCTCCATCACCGTCCAACCATTTCCGACCACTAACAGTAACCAGACGCAAGAAGATAAAAGGAGAATCCGTCACTACTTTCTTCTGTTCCCGTTTTTAATTTTAAAAAATAATAATAGTGTACCACTCTTTTTCTTTATATATAATATATACGGTGGTGAATATGAGATAATAAGTGATAATTAAAAATATAATAAAATTAATAAATTTACAATGCAAGTTAAATAATATTTAAAAGAAAAAATTCCTATCCAATATTTACAATAATGCTTTCCTATTTTTCTTCACTTAATTTACCTTAATTTTGTTTGCGCGGAACTCTCTATTGTTGCTGTTAGCTCACATCTTACGTTTTTAGCCTTGCGTTGTTCTCAAGTTGTTGCTTGAAGTAGGTTGAAAGTGAAGGGCTAGTGGCAAGTACTTTGCCCACCTGAACTCCAAATATGCGTACTTACCTCTTACAATTACACTTTGCCCCTCTAAACTGTTGATGGGTTAAGATGCAGTTATATTTTAATTTTATTCCATTTCTTGTATTCTCTTAGTATATTTGTTTCTGAGACTCTTTTTTGAGAAAAAATCTTTATTAAGTTTTAATCACATATATAAAATATAAAATTAAATTAATATAAATAATTTTTAAAAAAAAATAAGTGATAAGCAGGTGAGATGAGCATTCGTTGGCGTGACTTTATTTAACGGGTACCCAATGATAGGTGAAGCAAATACGGTCACAAAATGACTATTCTATGCGAATTGGGTCAACCCAATCGTGACGGGACCGCCCCTAACGGTGGGAAGCAAAAAGCAGCTGTATATGGGGTGTTCTTTTTTCACTTTAGGAAGCGTTGGTCGTGGTCGTGGTCGGTGGCACCTCGCCGCCAAGATATAATAACCACCCCAGTGCTCCGGACGGAGAGGGGAAGGGCGGGAATGCTGAATAATTGGGTAATAGAGCCATGTGCTTTTGTCACCACAATAGTACTAAATTATTTGTTGGGCGGCCCGCCTTCTCCTCATAGGTTAGTTATAATACTATATGTTATTTGTCGGGCACCCCGCCTTCGCCTATTTGGTTTTAGCTAATTCAACAGAAGTTTGGAGGATACAAGAGATTTGCATCACCGTCACGAGCATTTGTGGGGGGCACCGACACAACCGTCTCGCGGCCACCCCCAAGTCTTAAGTCGCCTCATAGTAATACTAGTTACTAGAGTTTTTTTTGCCAAAATAACACTTTTTTTTTAAAATATTTCCAATGTGATTCACTTTCAAATTTTATTCCCAAATCGATGTTATTGTTGCCACCTAATTACCCTGATTGCCATGTAAAATAACAAGAAAGGAAAGCTTTAATCTAGTTTATAGTTTCCAATAAAAACTAAAAATTTAAACTATTTCATTATAGAGGCACAAGAAATTTGCATAACTTTGATAATTTCCTTATAATTATTTAAAATAAAATTTACCATTATTGACCTTGCTATTATTGCTCTCTGCAATTTTTTTTTTAAATGTATCCAACTTATTGCATATATTTTTTCAAAAATAAACTTGCAAAACACAAAAATTGCAATGAACATTATAAGCAATAACAAGAAAAAGTTACAAAACTTCAAGGCTATCATATTTGTTTATGTTATGCTTCCTACTCCTTAAAAAGAACTTTTACAAAAAGTAATCAAACTATTGCAATTAAGATAATGCTAAAGTTTCTCATAAGTAACACAAGCCATTAATTGATGTTGAATAAATGTGCAAAAATACTTTAAATATACGAGATTATTTGATTATGTGATAGAGAGGCACTACAAATGAACATGCTTATATTGAGTATGAATTTATGTTGCTACGTAGTTTTCCTCTTAGACATTTTATAAAACACACGGTGTGAGAAATCATTTGTCAAAGCAATTAGTATTCAAAATTTTTTGAAGGCCATAGGAATGTTCTAAAAACTGCACAATAGAAAAGACAAGAGAATAATCTTCATTTACCTTGAAATTATCAATTTGAAAAGAATATTTTCATCTACAGATACAATATCAAGAATGATAATGAAATTTTAGATGTTGTTAATATAAATATTGGTTTTTAACAATTACATTTAACAAGAAAAAATAACAAAAGGACACAAAATAATAAAGAAAAAAAAAAGGGAAAGTTCGGAGAGAGAATTAGGAAAGATATTAGTTAGAAAAGAGAGATAGAATGTGCCTCTGTCTCTATCCTCTCACACATGGAAACTATACGGAAAAAAAGAATTATAAAGATAATAAATTTTAAAATTAGATTACTCGATATATGTTTCTTAAAAAAAACAGAAGAGTTATTTTGGCAATAAACTCGTAGTTACTATGTATGTATATTTTACGCTCCCTCTCCACATTCCACTCCCACGTCTGGCGCGCAAGGAATCATCCAGTCCATGTCCATCTCATAAGTAAAATAACGTGGCAGCCAGAGGCAGAGAGAGAGAGAGCGCCAGCCAGAAAAGAAACGTAAAGCGAGCAGCAACATTGATCGGTAAATACTAGTAGTAGTAATGAAACTGGCGGTTAACCACCAAAAAACTGAGAGAATCACCACAGACAGAGAGATGGAGATGGAGGTGGAACATCAAGTAAAGAAAATCTTGGATGAAATAAACAAATGATCATCGCCACCAGTGACGAAAGTTACAAATAACAAAATGGAATGAATAATCACAACGTATGTAGTAGTGTTGCCCTCATCCATATATCCCTGATCAGCACCCCATTCCAAAACCATCAATTACCAACAAATTGTACTTACATACTTTATAGCAGGCAGACAGTAGTAGTTGCAGCAGCAAATGAATCGAAAACTTCCGATGGCAAACCAGAGAAAAATATCTTTCATTCAGCTTGGAGTGGAGGAGGTGGGGTGACGGCGGCGGATGGATGGCTTTCTTGATTTTGGGGAGGAATGGAGCAATACAATAGGCAAATGCAAAATGCAGCAGCTTAGTTTAGTTTCCATATACTGAACTCGTACTACTTACTAGTACTGGGTGGTTGTAAGTGGGACCCGGTCGAAATTCTTGGAGGAGGAACCGTAACGGATGGTTTGAGGAAGCCCCGCGTTGTCGGAAGAACCTACGAGCTTTCCCAGTTCAGACTTGACCTTGTAGAAGATGTGCCTCCAGCTGCCCTTGCTCTGCCGACCCAGGGCAGCACTTTCTGCCTCGTTCATCTCCAGATCTTTTGCGAAGGTGGGCTTCCTGGACAAGATCCACCCCCATCCCCACTCCCACCATTTCCTTATTATGGAATCCCCTCCTCCTCCTCCATACTGATGATGATCTGCTGTGCCCATGGAGGACGTAGATTTGGATCGGCGAAATGCCCCGGCCCATGATGACGACCAGCGATGAGAGGAGGAGGAGGAGGAGGAGATCATCATCATCATGGCGGACGACGACGGTTGTAGCTGCATCTGCATCTTGAGGGACAGGGAGGAGAGTCTCTTGCGAATGCCGCCTCCGCCACTCAATGGCCCACTTTCACTTTGTACTTCATTATTACTGCTGCTACTATTGCGGTTGTGCTTGGTATATTTAACGACGTTGGAGTCTGCGGGGCGGTGTGACAGAGGAAGGCCCTGCTGCCGCTGCTTGTTCTGTTGAAAGCTTTGAAATAGAGATCCCATCTTGATTCCCTCCTTAGCTACTCCAAACCTTAAGCTTTAGCTGCTGCTGTTGCCACCGACCAAAACTAAGATCTGGGTTTCGGCCCGGAAAAAACCTGGACAACTATAGCTACGCCACAGCAAAATCGAGTCTATTCTTGAAACACAACAAATAATACAACACAGAGAGAGAGAGCACAAGTACACAACACAACACGACTCAAAAACAAGAGGATCGATCGATCGATCGATAAACAAAAAGGGCGGTGAGCTGTAGCAGTCACAGCGGTCATCCAGCCTGTTTTTATTCGCGGTTTTTAGGATGTTAGATGCTGGCGTGGGTCACCCCTGACTTTAACTTTTCGTTCTTATTTTTGTTTTTTTATTTTTAAAAACACGTTAACACCGCCACTTCCCACTCCAAAAAAAAAAGCATTTTTTTTGATAATCCAGACCATGCCCTGATCTGATCCGAGTCCTATGGATCCGAGCCGGCACATTAAATCGGGGACAACGTCTCAACCTCATCAACGTTAGTCTAAGCGAGTCACAAGGTGGCAGGGAGCAGTTTCGAACTCGGGACCTCTATGTCTCTAAGGATCGCTATTACCGTTGGACCAACCTCATGGGGGCTAAAAAAAAAGTTTGCTTCATTTTTCACTTTAAATTACCATAATTATATTATACAGTTTATCCCCCCTAATTATGTGAACCTTGAAGGGCCAAGGTGAAAAAAGAGATGAATTTAAGGGAGCTTATTGGAATTAAACCTTCATTCTAACAACTTTTTATTACGCCAAACAAGATGGATGCCCTCCATTTTAAAAAGTAACTAATTATTATTTGAAAAAAATTATTTATTATAGTATGTTAGTTTAGTGCATGTAAAATTAAAAAATAGTTAAAAATTATGAGTAAATCTTATATATACTGACGATGTATTATTATAATTGGATATACGACATATATGCAATATTTAAGTTTTAAATTCAAATTTGAATTATGTGTCATATATCTAATGATAAAAATATATATGCTATCAGTGTATAAAAAATTAATCTAAAAAATATATTTAAATAATGGTAAAAAAATGTTTTCAAGTAACGAAATGCCCAAACACTCTACAGCTAGAAATGAGTAAATATTCATATGCTAGTTTAAAATTCAGTAAAATTATACTGCTACTAGTTAAAATTTAGAGAATTTATTTATTTATTTATTTTTTGAAAAAAGGTTAACATGTAAGTGTGTTTGGACAGGAGATTATTTGCTCAAATATATTTACTTACATTACCATTATAATTTTTAATAAATCTTTTTATCTTTTCAATTATCTTTTTATCTCACATATATCACATCACAAAAAGTGCTCCAGTAAAAATATCTCAAATAATTTACGATCCAAACACAAAAGAAAGTAGTAGCATTGGCGTTATTGTTACACAATTGCTGCTGGGTCATCTTCTGCTATTATTATACTTAAAAAAAGAAGAAAAAAAAAAAGAAAGAGGAGAGTGAAGGTGGTAATTTCGGAAAGAAAAGAAAGGATTAAGGATCTGCCGCTGCTGCTGTGGCCACTAGGGGATTTGATTTGAGTGAAAATTACTACTCTGTCTTGAGAAATAAATTGGTGGACGACGGCAGACAATCGTCGATTCCATACATTCACGTCTCTGATGCCCGGACCCGTTATGCTGCTGGATATTTAGCAAATGGAATACAGAAGAATCAAGGATCTGCAGGTTTGGGCATCCCCAACCAAAAGAATTAACTATAGAAACAAAACCCTAATTTCCATCGCCATTCACTCGATTGACATTTCTTTCGTTGCTTTCGGTTTCCCCAATTTTTGTTTGTCGATTCCTTTCTTGATTTATTTTTATTTTCTAGTCGATTAGTTCTTCGATCATCCAGCATTATCATTAGTCTGTCTTCGTTTTACTCGTGATTCAGCTTCTTCAACTTTCGGATTTTACCTCTCTTCTCTCCCAAATATGCTTCTTCTTATCATTTTTACTTCCTGATTGATTATTCCTTCCTTCCGCTCGCGTAGTAACCGATTACTATAATTTTACCATCAGGACAAAGCTGGAGAGGAAGTTCATTCTCACAACAATGATGAAGAGAGCTTGCGTGGTTCCAAATCCGATTCTATCTCTACTGGTCAAATTTCTTCCCCACTTCCTCCCTCCCTTTGTCCACAAGTTTCAATGCCTCGCACTCTCTTTTGTTTCGGCCTCTATTGTTTTCTTTTCTAATAATTCAATCAATAATTCCTCTATTGATTTAAACAGGCTCCGGCGAACTATCAAAGTGGAAACGCAAGTCAGTAGCTCGCCTGATCTTCTTTTTTTCTTTTCTTGTTGTACCCGCAATTTGAAGTCTTCCCATTTTCTCACTGATGATTATATTAGGTCAATTGTAACACTTGCGTTGACTGTCCTTACGAGTTCACAAGCTATACTCATTGTCTGGTCCAAAAGAGCTGGAAAGTATGAGTACAGTGTTACCACTGCCAATTTTCTGGTGAGGAAACTATAAGGCATCTACTATCCTGTCACTAACCCATGAAAATAATTCAGCCTTTTTCGTGCTTGCCTTTTCTTTTTTTTTTTGGTATTCATTTCTTTTACCTTATGTGCTGGGAAAGAATTTCAGAATTCTACCTAAATTTCTTCCTTTTTTCTTTTCCAATTAGGTAGAGGCCTTAAAGTGTGCATTTTCACTTGCAGCCTTGGCAAGAATCTGGAGAAATGAAGGTGTTACTGATGATAACAGGTTTCTTTTTCCCTGACTTCCTTTTGATGTACCATGTGTGGTCGATATACATCAGCATGTTCCTTTTCCTTCTAGAATTTGTAATTGCCCCATGCAAAACTGAGCAGCTTGGCTTGGAGGGATCAAATAACAACCACATAAGTGAATGTGCAAGTTTATAAGTTTTTGATACCCTAAACTTGGCTTTCGGGGAATAGCAATTATGGAAGGGTTAAATCTCTTAAAATTTCTGTTTCTGCACTGTTAAATGATCTTCTGAATGCAAGTCTCGTGACTTTCCATCTAGAGAAAAATTCAGTAATCAAAACTTTTTGACTTTTATTTTTATAAATAGTTTAGAAATTCCTATCAAGTGCACGGGTTTACTGGCTTCCTTCTGTATGAGTCTTATGTAAGTGAATTCCTTTGTTTTTTTTTTCATTTGTTCTAAATTAAATATACGACATCTTGTTGTTGTGTTTGAACTTTGTTAATCTTATGCTGTTTGTTCTGATTTACATTTGTAATTTAATGAATACATTGTTTGTCTGTCATCATCGTGTTTACTCTTCCGCGATTAGGTTGAGTACAACGCTGGATGAAGTTAGTGTTTACCCTATTCCTGCTGCTCTTTACCTCATCAAGAATTTATTACAGGCAGGTTTTTTTTTCAATAATTTTTTCTTATAGGTTTGGCTTTGTGGCTCTTGGATGTTCTTTTGCTTAAACATGAATCTGTCTTGCAGTATTACATCTTTGCATATGTTGATGCTCCGGGATATCAGATATTGAAGAATTTTAACATTATCAGCACCGGTGTATTGTATCGAATTATTCTGAAGAAAAAGTAAGTCCTTCCATCACTTTGGAGATAGAAAGTGTTGAAAGTTTTCATGGGGAAAGTATGGATAGCAATACCTCAGGAGACTGAAAAGCGTCATCTTTTGGTTTGTCCATGTGATTGTTTTTTTACCATGGACATATTAGCTGGACTTATGAATATCTGTGTTGCAATGAAGAAACTCAGCAAACGTGTTCTGGAACAAGTTAAGATTATCCTAAACCTAAATTTGTACAGGCTGTTGCTGAGAACATGAAAATGCATTATTTTTTTATTTGTTTTTTCCCCCTTCTATTGACATATCTGGGGACCTTGTGAATATTGATGGGGGAAATGGAAAAACCTTAGCAAATGAGTTCTGGAACAAAGTTCACAAGATATTTTGTTGACCTCTTAATGATGTCTTCTATGCATGTCTCTGGTGATTTAACTTCTTTTTATTAGGGAGTAGTTGAACCAGAGTTCTTCTTTTTTCCTTTTTCCTTTTGTCACATAAGTTATGTAATTTGACCGGATTCTGGGATTTCTTTGATCAGTAATCTTCATTGATTTATTCAGGCTAAGTGAGATTCAGTGGGCTGCTTTTGTCTTATTGTGTGCTGGGTGCACAACTGCACAACTTAATCCTAGGTAAGTGCCAATAGCCAGTAGGAAGAGATAAATGTCTTTTGCTTTCTCATTTTGCTCTACTACTGTTCTCCTTTTTCTGTTTTGGAGTAAATCGAATTGTTCTTATTTATTTGCAGTCTCCTTAGAGTATGACCTTGTTTGTGCAGCTCTGACCATGTTCTTCAAACTCCCTTTCAAGGTTGGCTCATGGCCATTGTAAGTTGCTGTTATTGAACACCAGGATTCAACTAAAGGATGAAAAGCTTACTAAAATTTTCATGCTTTGTAATATGACCATGAATGGCTCTTTTCAGGTTATGGCTCTTCTTAGTGGTTTTGCTGGAGTGTACACAGAGGTAGTGTTGCTGGCATTTTTTTTGGGGGGGTGCTAAATGGTTCTTTCAAACTGTACTTTTGCTTATTTGAAACAGTTTATCATTTGCATGAGGGGATTGATTCTAGTAAATGATCAATTTCTGAAGATTTCTAAGTGCCTGGCAAGAATAATCAAAACCAAAACAAGGGAGTGGAGTTTACCTTATAAGTTTGAATTTCTTGCAGGCTATCATTAAAAAACGACCTTCAAGGAACATCAATGTGCAGAACTTCTGGTTGTATGTCTTTGGAATGGTCTTCAATGCTATTGCAATACTGGTTCAAGATTTTGATGCAGTGGCTAACAAGTATTGTCCGTTGTTCTGCATTTCTCATCTTTTACCTTGATGTTCACTTAGTGAATGCCTGATGAGTAGATATGGTATTATTTATGTAACTTGGAAGCATAATCATATTGAAAAAGAGCATCCTCATCATTGAAAATAGATGGCTCTTCTCTTGTTTGGATATTTGGAATTCATAAGTTTTCCTTCAGAAGAAAAAAATTGTGCATCTTTTGTTTAGTGGAAATGGTGCATCTCAAAAAGTAAGGGCTTTTGTTTTTTATAATGTAAAAGTAAGAAGTGGTTTTAATATGTAATAATCACTGGATATTTGACTTTTGAGGACATTGTACATAAATGTCTTTTATAATTACATTAATAATTCGTGTTTCTCCTTGTGCCTCTTTTACAGGGGATTCTTTCATGGATATTCATTAATTACAGTTCTCAT